GATGTTCATGTTGCTGCGGTCTGCAGTCTGAACGTTAGATGTCGCTGAAAATTACACACTGTAGCTTTAATAAAAGGAGGTGAAATGCAGCTCCAAATGAGCCGAGCATGTACGCTTCTGTTCCAATTGACCAAGATCTATGCAGTTGGCTCCTGCTCTCTTTATCCTTTTTGAAATGCAAACTGAAGTTCATCAGCGTGATTATTTCCTAAGTATGGAGTTGGTTTACTATCACATTCTCTAACAGCGAGTAAATATAATCAATGCTTCTATGTTCCTATTGTGTTTCCATGAACCCCAGAAGGGGCCTGGTTATGATGGAGGGTTATTCCAGTAAAATAGGATGTTTTCCTCTCTGCTATCTTTTATGCATGCTTAGTGTGAGGGATTGCTGTAAAGTCAAAGATGTATGTCGCCACATGGTCATTCAGGAGGAAAAAATCCTGTAGAGTCAGTGACTGGATGCAATCAGCTGCGATCAGCTGGTTTTCTTTTCTTTGACCAACATGACTGCACAATTTGATTTACTTTTCTCTGTAAAATGCCTTGAGATGACCTGTGTTGTGAATTGATGCTAAACTGATTATAACTTTAATTAAAATCAGGTTAGACTGTGGCACAAGCAAAAAACAAACAAAACAAAAAGTTCACTGGTTCATTTAATGTCTCCTTGGACATTTCATTCAAATGCCCAAGTCAGTTCAAGAAGTTGCTACAATAACAGTGTAGAAATGACCATGTCTTTAATACATAGTTGTTTTTTTGTTATGTTTTTTTTTTTTTTTTTTTACAAACAATGCTACATTTCAGCATGATGACCTATTTAGGAAAACCTGGAACCCCTCGTTCTGGCTGTTCAGATCCTGTTTGTTGAGGGCAGCACACCTAAATCAGATGCTGCAAAGAAAGATGAGGAAATCAGACGGTGTAAACAGATTGAAGGACCCGTCACAGAACTGAAATCAGCAGCAGAAGCCTGTTTAGTTTATTTACTGTTTCGGACAGCCTGCTGCAGTCTGTTCCTAAATGATCTACTAGATTCCAGGTCTTTCACTTGTCTTGCTTTCCATGATACACGCTGACTTCATCCATGTGAGAATGGTCTATAAACATTGTTGGCCATCTGTCAAGGCTGTATCACAAAGCAAAGATAAAGTTCCTGATTTATCTTATATATATTAAAGACAAATAGTTAAACGTCTCTTGTTCTAGAGCCTGTTTAGAAGAATGTTAGACTCACTGAGATAAAAGGGAAGCAGATTTTGCAAATCTTTGGTAAATACTTGCTAAAGCTGTGCAGGGAATTCTGATATGTTGACAAGATTCCATATCATATAAGAAAAGTCTTCACTAAAGGTGTCTAAAGCTGCTTTCCCACTGAAAATAGTGGGTTAACGCTTGTTTTACAAACATGGGTCGACCCTCTAACAATCGGCATCTGGCTCCCTGCCCACTGCCAAAAAAGCTGGGTCTAACCCCTCGCTGCCAGCTAGGGGTGCCTGTCTGCCGACGCCATCATGCTGGGTTAGTGTTGATGTCACCAGTGCAATAGGAATCAGGAAAGTAAACAATGGAGAGCAACATGTAAAGAAGCCAGGGCATAGTCAGTGTCCCTCTCACCAGAGCTGTCCATGTTTATTGAATTTAAAACATGGACTGAGCCCCGGTCGGCCTCAGCAGATGACCGCTCACACTGAGCCTGGTTCTGCTGGAGGTTTACCCCTGTTAAAAGGGAGTTTTTCCTCTCCACTGTCGCTACAAGCATGTTTTGTTGTGAGGGATTGCCTTCAAGTCAATGAATTCGATGCAATCAACTGGTTTTCCTTAGATAGAAAACTTTGAATCAATCTGACTGGATGATCTGGTGAACTGGAAAGGACCTTGAGATCATATGTGTTGGGAATTGGAGCTATAGAAATAAACTGAATTGAATTATATGGAAAGATACTTTTAGATCAGACGTGACTGGCGATGTGTTGAAATCCGTACTTTGCGCTTAATGGCATCAACAATGCCTTTCATAGCAGGCAACTTTTTTTTAAAACACAAGCAATTTCCTATTCATTGTTCCAGAGTTTCTGTAGCCTAAAACAGACAAATATGAACAGAAACATAATGATTTAAGATTTTACATAAACTTTGTGCAAATAAGAACAGAAAACAAAACATCAGAGAAAGGAAGCAATGAAAACCAGAATATCTGGTAACAATCTCCTCAGTTGACAACAGGCAAAGTTTCTCTTTGTTTAGAATATAATGTTTTTTCTTACAGATAACCAGAGTACCACCTGCCTCAGGAGGTTGCTGTAGTATGACAGGTGTCTCTAATGTCCTCCAGTTTAACAAGGAGATGCTCCCTTCCTCAGCGCCTGCAGTCAGGCCACAGCTTTCCAAACTTTGCAATTTGCTGATATGGTCTTTGGAGATTTATCTAGAATCAGCAATAGACACACCAGTAGATGAGGTTAAACAGGATGTAAGATCCAGGGAAGATCATGCGGGAGTATGTGTCGATGGTGTGGGTGTTCTGGATGATGCGGAAGCTGCGAACACTCTTCTTCTTGGTCTCTGTGGACTCATTGTCCAAAGTGAGATGTACCACCATCTGCTCCTGCTTGTCGGATGGATCCTCAGCTGCCACAGAGCCTCTGGTATACCCTGCCAGGCTGTTGGCGTCCGCCTCGCTGTACATTCCATCCAGCATCATGGTCTTGGTGTGAGGCATGCCACACGTGCACGGCAGCGTGTGCGACTGGGAAAAGAAAGCCAGTAAACCATGACTGAGCCATAACATCCGCTGCACTGTTGGCTCTTGATTTCCAAACGCATATCCTACCTGTTCCCGCATTTTTTCTCGTAGCTTCCGGTCTTTACCATCTCTAACTGTCGTCAGGTAGTTGACTGCTGCGTATTCCAGCACAGACAGGAATACAAAGACAAAGCTGACCCAGAGGTAAATGTCCACAGCTTTGATGTAAGAGACCCTTGGCATGGAGGCGTTGACCCCAGTAATGATGGTAGACATGGTCAGTACAGTAGTTATACCTGAAAGCAAAATAATTAAAAAAGCTGCTTTATTAGTCACTGAGGAAATACACCAGCACATTAACTGCCTTCTCTGTAATGTAACATCAACTGTTTAGTTACTTTGAGTCAAGAGAAAAAGGAAAACAAACAAGAAGCTCATCAACCCATAATTTCAGAAACTAAACACCACACAGTTTTCTGTTGGACTCTAATGCTACGTTCACACCGCCAGCAGCAGAAGCAGCAGAAGCAGCAGCAGCAGCTGGTTTACATGCAAAGCCAATGGTTGACACGTATCAAGGCATAGCAAAACGTCTGAGCAGCTGAAGCAGCCTCACAAGCTTCTGAGGCTGCAGTTGGGAAAATTGAACTTTAGCTGCTGGACGCGCCACATCAACCAATCAGAAAAGCTGATCTGGGAGCTGGCAGGGAGTCAGACGCAGCACTGCTGATGCAGAGCGCTATGATCACTCCTCTGAAACACTTTATTAACGCCTAAATTAACTTCAAATGCCGGAAAAATATTCTCCCTTTTATTAGCCTGATGCCTGCAGTTTGGATTACTTACATGAAAAATGCTAACATCTACTTCAAACCACCATCAAAAGCAGGTGAAAACCCCCAAGAGACGACCGGGCCAGAGGCTGCTGTTAAATGGGATTCTCAGGCTCCAACAGTTAAATAATATTTGAAGGCAGGATGGTAATCTGGATGAACTGATTGCACAGACGATGTTTTCAGGTGCAATTAAAAACATATAAAAACTACTTTTTTACCCGCTGATCACAGCAAATATAGCTGCCATTGTTCCAGGCAAAGAAAGGATAGGGTAGCTCCGCCCACCGTGCATCAGAACCACTTTTCGACCGCGCAGCTAGAGCAGCAAAGATTCTTCAGCCGCGTCTCAGAACTAAACTTGTACAAGCATCAAGAATGAATCAGCACGCGTGTTTCTGCTGCTTCTACTGCTTGCGGTCTGAGCGTAGCATAACAGCCTCCCATAGTATCTTGTCCTCGCTACAAGTCTTGGCCATATTGTGCAGCCCTATACACAAGCCAGACACTTGTTTTTTTGCACCATCCTTATTTTGTTTATGAAACCACACAATACCTTGTCAAGGAATATCTTTTTTTTTATTATCCAGCATAATAGTTCTGGGTCCCTTTTCCTACCTAAAGAGACTCTGGCAGGCACAGCCCTGCGGTCAATCCAGAAGGAGACCCAGGACAGCATGACCATCAGAGTGGCAGGGAAATACGTCTGCAGCAGGAAAAAAAAGATGTGGCGCCGTAAAGTGAAGTTGATGTAAAGACGATTGTACCAGCCTGAAAAAGAAAAAGACAACCAATAGAAAGAAGTTTGGTTATTGTTCTGCTGAAGTCATTTGTTTAGTTGATTTGTTTAACTTTTATTCAGATGAAAGAAATAAACTAAGATACATGCCAGTTTTTTAAATAGACACCTCAAAGGTTTTTAGATCAAATTATAGAAATTTCCTGTAAAAAGAGTATACTGCCACCACCATGCTTTACTGTGGGCATGAAGCTCTTTGGTGATGCATGGTGCTGTTCCTCACAGCCTTCAGAATATGCTCAAAGATTTCCAGTTGCTTCTTTCCGAACATTAACATTAAAAATGTCACTTAAAATAATCATTACTGTAAAATAAATTCTTACATGAAGGTTATAGGCTGTATAGAACCCCCCAAAACACTCAGTAATTTCCAGTTATTGAGTTAGAACAGTGTTTAGGTTACATTTCTTATGCCAAATGTAGTGGCTCTGGGCTTGTGAGGCATGTTTTTAGGTAGTTAAACATAAAGCCAATCTTGTCCTAAACCTGTGCTGCTGTAGAAAGCCAGTCTGGAGGTGGTGTGAAACTTCTGAATGAGAAACTGGGATAAAGAGATCCTGTCGTCTGTGCTCAGAGACTCATCCCCACTTTTCCAGTAGAGCATCAGGTCTTCGTCTGTGTAGGCGTCTGAGGAACAGAAATCAGAGCAACCAGATGTTATTTTGATGTTAAATTCTTTAAAAGAAGCTCAAGATGGACAGCTGGATGTTCTTAAAATCATGAAGTCCTTTTAACCTTTGGCTAAAAGGACTTCATGATCATCTGCTCCAGACAGGAGGAAAACCTGAATGGAAACTAGATGGACAGTGAATCAGAAAAAAAAAGGTTTTAACTGGAATGTTGCTCATAAATAAATTATTCTGCAAATGTAGTTTCAGGGATTCCAAAAAAGTTTGTTTCCAAGTTTAAAGACGTTTTGCGTCTCACCCAGGAAGCTTTTTCAATTCAAAATATCAGGAATAGAGTTGAGTTCCAGGTTTTATACAGCAGCCCAACAAAGCCTGTAGCCTGGGTGCCAGTCCGAACTTAGTCCCGCCCACAAGGTTTGAGTTCGGGGAAGTTCGGTCTGGCTCTGCTCCATAGTAGCGCGAGTATTATCGCCCACTGTCAGGCGATCCAATCAAATTGTCAGGGCGGGCTTTATACGATGATGGACAGATGACCAACAGTAACGTAATCAACCACGTGACCAAAGCGCGCTTGGGTGACAACAACAATGGCTGCCGCTGGAGAGTTTGGGTGAGTAGATTCTGCTATTAGGTCTGTTCTAGAAGATATCGACAGCAAATTAATTTTAAAAGAGGAACAGAGAAACGCGATCAAGTCTCATCTTCTTATTCTAGGCGTGCAACTGCACGCTTTGATTTTTGTGGACAACAACTATGCCTCGCTTAAGATACGTCACGCACTCCGTCGCTCTTATTGGTTGTAGGTCTATCCAATTGAGTGCAGAGGCATTTTTTTTCCTGGTTCGTTCGAAACACGCCCCATAATCACAGCTCTATGGAGCAGTATCAGACTCATATTCTGACTAGAATTGAGTTGGACTACGTCAGGCTACAAAGCCTTGTTTTTGTTTAGAAAACATGCAAACTGAAACGGATGAACGATCCACCCCTTGGGGGTCGCTTGGCTTTTTAGTTAGCCTGTAATGTCCCATACCTGCCTATGTCTCTGAATGGGGGGGTCGTTAAAGTTCAGACATCTCTGCTTCAGGGTTTATTTACATTTATCGGCTGCTATTTAAAGGACACTTTCAATGCATTAAGCCTTAAAACGAACATTTCTGAGAGACTTCCCTTTTATTTTTGCTTATTTTCAATAGTGTTGAGTCTCTGCTTAGTTATTAGAAATAATAATACTGTTTAATTATTAGCTAATAAAGGGACCATTGTAATTTTAACTCATGGTCGTTTGTGTTTATTTAACGTAGTGAACGATTTATCACTCAGGCTGGATTCACTATTATTCTTTAACATCTGAACAAACAGAGACACATTTGGTTGGTGATTAATAACTCTGCTGATCGCCATTTCATAAACTAAATTGGTGAAAGACAACAGAATTTTTAACAGCCGTCTTCAGGATTCAGTCCAACTTTTATGTAAGAGACTAAAAACCCAGGTCTGTGACAGTCATTGAACTGATGATAATTAATTACTTTTACCCTTGATTTTAATGACCTATAAATCAACTATAATTTCCAATTCTAGTTACTTAATATATTCATAATCTTCTGGTAAACGTTCACAACAAATGTGATCAAGACTGCATGACTGAGCTTTTTTTGGAAAGGTGGGCCCCCTGCCTGTCTTTGCCCAGGGCCTCAGGTTTCCTAAATCCACCCCTGATTATCAAAGTACTTTGTTTCGGCCATCTTGGTTCTTGGGGTGTAGCGCTTGTCTTTAATAATGATGTTTTGCACATATCTGGTTGAGACGTGTTGAAGCTATGTTTCCTATTAAGAATTAAACTGCAACAAAATGACTTACAGCTCTCCAGCTCCAGTGTGCATGTCTGTGAGTCCAGAGGGAAACGACTAAAATCCATGTTGCATGCAGCAGTAACTGTTACCCTGAGGGATAAAGAAAGGACGGCATAAAGCCCATCAGCTCAAAGTGTGCTTCAGAAGAGCCTGCCAAGTCAGACTGAGCCGCTGTCCTCACCTCAGGCTGTAAAGAACGTGTCCATCTGGGAAGACCCTCAGCATGATGTTGTCAGTAGTGGTGTCATGGATGAAGGACCTCTTAGAATGGACAAAGAACACGTCTGGGACCCAGATCTTTTTCACCAGGCGCCCGTCAAATGTCATGCTCTTATTTGTGCTGCTTGGAAAAGCCAACCTTTCGTCCTTCCAGTAGTGCCTTAGATAAAGAGTCATAGTGAAGTCCTGCAGATAGGAAAGTGACAGGGGGAGGGGGGCATAAACAGATTCAGGATTAAGTGTCACTATAAGGACTCAACTTGCTTGCCTTCTCTAGTTTATTAAATTCCTCTAGGATTACAGCAGTTTGACCCGTGCAGGCTGGATTATTTGGTTATGTCGGTAGCAAATGCACATGCGCCACAGAAGTGTGAAACATGTTAACTGAATTATCTAACAGGCCACATTTTCAGTTGATCCAAGCTTTTTGGAGTTCGTTAGCCTGCTTTTACCCCGCTACTTTACATCTGGAAGATGCAGCGACTCTTGTGACAGATTACTCTCTATCCAGTTCTCCTCGTGGGATTACATAAGATCAAAGGACTTTGAAACAATGGCCACAGCATGGCAGGCAAACACCTGAAAAGAACCTTTGGGGTTGCATAAGAGAATAGAAAAGAAACATCTTGTTCATTTCTGAAATGTAGGCATTCTAGCAACACAGCAAACTGGCATAAGAACTGTGACAAAGAGAGATAGCATATAAATAAGGATAAGATGGACTTTACAATCCCTAAAAAAGTTGTAATCTGCAGTAATGAATATTTATTTCAAATGTAAGTCGTTAGAGATTTATAGAACCTCGCTGAAATAACATTCATTGGCAGTAATTTGTTGAGTAATCTCAGCCTCCTGCTGTTCTGACTGATTTGATTTGGCTTCATAAGCTGATTTTATTGACTTTAAACTCAATGATAAATCTATTTTTCCCAAACATATGAAGAGGAATCCAGAATAAAAGATGAGCGGATTTTGTTAGTTCATATCTGCCCTATAGTTACTGGATGAGGCAGCTTCAGTAGGATCACTGCAGGAAGACTTTGCTTCCTTTTTCATGATTTAACAGACGAAAAACCAGGAGAAGGACAGACAGCAACAAGGCATAGAGGGAGAAGACTATTATTACCCATCCATATAATCCATTGATCCATCCATCCATTGATTGATTGATCCATCCATCATACATCCTCCATCCATCCACTGATTGATTCCATCCATCATCATCCATCTTCCTTCCATCTGTCCATTGATTGATCCATCCATCATACATCCTCCATCCATCTATTGATTGATTCCATCCATCATCATCCATCTTCCTTCCATCTGTCCATTGATTGATCCATCCATCATACATCCTCCATCCATCCACTGATTGATTCCATCCATCATCATCCATCTTCCTTCCATCTGTCCATTGATTGATCCATCCATCATACATCCTCC